CAACGCTCTATCCACTGAGCCAAACTGTCGAGGGCAAAGTCCACATTCTTAATAAGTGAATTATATTGACTCGCCAAGAAATTTTATGGCTAGACCTTCAGAAGGGCAGACAGTTGAGTTTGTAGGTGACTGGATTCATTCACCTTGGAGGCTGAGTGACGCCGTTCTTCATTTTGTGGGAATATAGGTGGCAACGAGGTGGTCACTAAACAATTGACTGGTCCACCATGTGCAGATTTGCTGGCTCGCTACCTGCCCCTCAGTGTCCGGGTGGGTTTTTTCCCAGCCTTCCAGGACAGTGATCTGGTCAGCCTGTCGTCTTCATTCCCAAAGAGAGCTGAGATGAGATGAAGCAAACCCAAAGAATCATAGGGGAGGAAGAGGCGAGGGGTTGGAACCATCTAGTTTCTCTTAGACATGCCAGTATTTTAAGTGCTCTCATCAATAACTAATCCATTTCCACAACACTTCCCTTAAAAAACATTTCATAGTCTAATCTAAGTTCTTCTATTATTGTTTAAAATAATTTCCTTTGTTCTACGATAATCAGGAATGCCAAAAACATGCAGTTTTTTGGAGGAAGAGGCCATAAAATATTACAACTAGAAGAGATCCTGTGCTTCACTGTATACACGATGAGTTCAAAGTCCCAGGATGACCTTAGAGTCTGTACGTCAGTTCTTGCCCTGGTGCTTACAATAGTGTGACCTTCAGGCAGAGATCGGATCAATTCCATCCTCTCCAAAACAACACCTACCCTGCTGACTTCGCGGGGAGTAAGTGAAACATTCTATGTGAAGTGCCAAGAAAAGGCTGTAAGGAGGAGGTGCTCAACAGATGGCCATGACCTCCCTTGAGCAATGTCATCCAGCTATTCAGGGTAGAGCCAGGGCCAGAACTTTGTTTTCTGATTTTCAAGTGTGTGTGTGTGTGTGTGTGTGTGTGTATGCAATGTGCGTGGCCTTATCTCTTTGTTTATCTCTTTGCCACAGGAGCAGTGTAATGTCTGCTTCTGTGAAGTGACATGGTTTATAATAGTTTGTCATTATCACTTTCACAGCACTTAGAGCAGTGATTTTCAACCTTTTTCATCTCAGGGCACAGATAAACTAATTACTAAAATTCTGTGGCACACCAAAAAATATATTATTTTTTGCTGATCTGACAAAAAAAAGAGTATAATTTTGATTCATTCACACCAGACGGCTATTGTTGTGTCGGCTGTTGTCATATTTTATTTGACAATCTACGGGAAAAGAGGTCAGTGCCCCTGACTAATTAGTCAGGCATTGCATGGTTTACAGATTCTTGCGGCACAGCGGTTGCAAGTCGCTGATTTAGGGGATACCCTTCAGTCAGTGCAGCAACTTGGGGAGTTAGACAGGAGTGGTATTGCTAGACTGACTTCACACCTCAGGGAAGGGAGGCTGAGAGTGATTTCCTGCAGTTCCACAGCCAACCAGCGGCAGGGCTGGACCCCCACCCAGACCTGGCGCCTCCCCACCTATGGCTCTTTCCACAGCACACAATGCCTTCCAACCTACAGGCCAAACAGTTCACCCAAGAGATAAGGAAAAGTGAGAAATATGCTGGGAGCATGAATGACATAAATAACCAACAATTCTGATTAGATAGTGAGGGGGAAATTGAACTTTGAGATGATTGAGCAAGAGGCAGGGAGAAAACACTGACCAGGCAGAACAGCCCCCACGCTGAAGGAATGTGGGGATTGGGCGGCCACTGCGGACCAGAGTAACTCTTTCCTGTCAGAAAAGTACTGGCCACTCAGTAATTCTGAAATCCTGCAGCCCATTCTTTCCAGTTGCCTCTGCCTCTGCAGCATCCTCACTGCACAGAGTTGCTTCCTCAGACAAGGAAAGCCTCAAGTTGTGGGCCACATTTCAAGCTTCAATTTTACTCTTTTGTCTCAAATATTGGTACCGCTAAGGCCTAGAATTTGGATACTCTTAAATCCACTGGCCCTGGAGGCTTGAATATAGGCAGGCACTCTAGTCTCCCTAGAACACACAGAGTTTACATTTCCTAGGGAGGAGGAACTTCTAAAAAAAGTCACCCCGAGGAAATGAAAGGCTCCCCAAAGGCTTCTGCTCCAGGCTTCATTCTGGTGCTTTAAAAACCATCTGTACCCTCCGATTCTGGCATTTTAAAAAGCCTACCACATCACTCTCCCAAACTGACATTTACTGCTCTCTGTGACTGTACCCAACAACACTGGATCGTAAACTTCAGGTGACTTGTATGGGATGTACATTCTATCTCAATAAAACTGTTACATTAATAAACGGGCCACAAAGGAATTGAAAGCCTGGTCTCAACGAGATATGTGTGCACTCGTGTTTAAAGTAGCTTTATTCACAACAGCCAAAAGGTGGAAGCAACCCGTGTCCCTTGGCCTATGGAATATTACTCAGCCCTGAAGAAGGAGGAAACTCTGACACATGCGACAACACGGATGACCTTTGGAGACATTACGCTAAGTGAAACAAGCCAGTCAGGAAATGACTAACACTGTGTGACTCTCCTTGTATGCGGTACCTGGGATAGTGAAATTCACAGAGACAGAGAGTAGAATGGTGGTTTCCAGGGAGGTGATGGTGGGGATGGGGGGTGGGGAGGGGGAGGCAGGAATGATGAGTTGTTTAATGGATCTAGAGTTTCAGTTTTGCAAGAAAAAAAGAGTTCTGGAGATTGGTTGAGCAACAATGTGAATGTAATGAACCCTACTGACTGGAGACTTAAAACGGTTAAGGTGGTAAAATTTTACGTTATGTGTATTTTAGCACATTTTTTTTCAAGGCAAAGGGCCATGGCGGTTTGAATGCACCATCTCGGGGCAGCTGCAGCCTGGATTCCTATGGAACTTCAAAAGATGATGAAACTGAGGACAGAACAGGTTGGAGGATTTCCCAGTATTTCACGGCCTCCAAGTCCCGTGAGCTCTCAACTTTGAATATTTTATGGAGCTAAGAGACTTAAAACACACACCTGCCAACCGTCTGTGTTGCTCAGGAGCTACTGTTTCCCTAAGGCCTGGTAAGCTGTAGCCTCGCTGTCTTGAACTTTGAGTTTCAGTTACACATCAAACCCTGGAAGCAGGCAAATGCTGATGCCACAGGAGCAGCGGCAGGTGGCAGCAGTCGGGGGCGGGCGCACCATGCCCTCTGACGTGCTTGGCCAGTCTGCTGTTCACGTGAAACGACGCCCAGCAGGAGCGGGGCCACCTGGGTCTGCCTACGCAAGTCATTCTTCCCTGATTAATGAAGGTTTAGCGCCCAAGGTTATGCAGTGCTGGGAGGAGAGGGAAATTGCTAATCTATGCAGTCTTTGGTGACCCAAATGTAAGCAGCTCTGCGGTGGACCACTGAGTCAGAGCGAGTCAGACTCGCTGTGTGCCCGTCTTGGGACTCTAGGCAAGTTACTCGCCTTCTCTGAACCAGAGTTTCCTTAGCCAGAAAACAGGCAATTTCAGAGAGGGGCTCAGATTGGAGATATCTATAAAAAGAACTCAATGCATCATAGGACCTAAGAAAACTAGCTATTATTATTGTTGTCATGATCATAACAAGAATAATTAGTATTAGTAGCATAAGTGAAATTGTTTTTACCATGCAGCTCTCAGCGGGCGGAATGCTTTAGTCACAATTCCAACCACCCAGTCCTGACCCCAACATCTGTTACTCACCCCACGCTTCGTTCTTTCACCACCGTCCACCTCTACTTCCTCCGTTCTTCTTTGACAAAATAAAACCTGATGAAACCTCCCCAGATTGGGTCATCTTGACCTGATCAATCAAGCACGAGGTGCTTGAATGAGCACCCGGTGGAGAAAGTATGCCTTTGGGCAGCAAGTGGATTCAGGAGTGCTGATGGGAGCTTTACCTGGCCTCGCCCTCCACTATCCTTAGACCAGGCCGTGGCCAAGGCTTCCCCAGACAAATGAGCCTCGATTTTGTGTTTTGAACATTCAATTTCCTTTAATAATCACAGTCGGTGTTTCACACTACCCACTTTTAGAACCTATCTGACCCTAAACGCTATTTAGACACCCTAGTTCTCCGATACTTTTTCCTTCATTTCATTGACATTGTACTTGTTCACTCATAAATTCTAATGTCACGCTCAATACCATTGAGCACTTTGACTCCACCTCCCCCCACTTTATGAATTATCCCAAAGAAATATATTCCTGAGAATGTATACTTCCCCAGGATCAGGGTCATTTCATTGTTTTTAGATTTCCCCATAAGATCTATTTGCTTCATTCATTATTTCAGGAAGCACATACTATTTTTATTTACCTTCTCTTGATTTGGATTTTGCTTTAATGCTCACGAGAAAAGCTGTGGAATGGACCCATACCCGGGCAGTGCCATATCAAGGGGAGATGATGGCTTAGATCAGTCACTTTGAGTTTTATTCTAGTCTTTACCAGCTTTAAGACAAAACTGTAAAATTTGAGAAAGAATGAAAATAAAGACAGTGTGTTCGGCATTAAAAACCCTAGGGAGCCCAGCGTGGTTTTGGGGCACAAGGAAGGGGTGCCCAAAAGGAATGCATCCAGCAGGTGCTTTACAAACCTACAGAATGCTCTGGTAAAGTTGTGATTCCACTTTACAGAGGGGAAAAGTAAGGCTCAAAGAAATAAAGACCACCTTGACCAAGGTCGTGTATTTTTTAAGTGATGGAGCTAAGCTAACATTCTTCCCAACTTCCCTTCGTGAATTCTAGAGCTCAGTCATGCATTAGCTGTTTGACGTAGAGGAAATCCCCTAATCCTCTGTGCCTTGGTGTCTTCACCCGGCAATTGAAGAGTCTGGAGTAAGAACTACATGGTCTGCAGAGAGCCCTTGTAGCTTTAACATCCTATGCGTACAATGAGTATGTGAGCATGATTATGAGGACTGGCTGTTTATGAGCCAATCAGAGGTATTCGATAAGAACCTCCCCACCAGGCCAAGGCGGGAAGGGGAGGGCAAAAGGAAAAAAACACACACACACACACCACACAACTTGGATGAGAAATCTATAAAAGCTGAGTGTTCCCAAAGATTCGTCCTATTTGGCAGCTGCTGCCTCACCCACGGCTTCTGATCTCTAAGAGGACGCTCTGCTCACACATTGTAAGTAAAAGAACTTCTTTTGTCTACTTGGACAGCACCCGGGATTAAGGGGTTAATGAAAGCTTGTGGAGGGGAAAGTTTGTTTGCTTTTGTTTTCAGGAAAAACAGGATGGTGGCTGAAAACACCATGATCTGCTGAAACGTTTGTTTTTCCTCACACCTTTCCTGGCAGCAAACTGCTCAAGATTGCTGCTGTTACCAGTGTTACCTGTTTGAGGGCTCTTTTGAGTCTTGGCCTGGGAAAGACAACTTGAATGCACCCATTGGGTTAGGTTCTACTCAGTTTTTGAGATGCCGGCTCATTTCTACTCTTTCCACAACCACTGCTTATTTTGATGATTTATTTACGTATCTGTCACCTTCTGTCACTTCCTTCATTCTCTTCCCACACGGACCAGTGTTAGCACTGCAGTTTCTTTGTCACAGAAATGGACTCTGACGTGTGTTGCCCTTGGCCTTCATCCACTGCTCAGATGAGAAAGTGGAACAGGCTTGGAGACCTCACAGAGCAGCATTGTCATCTGATTATAAAGTCTCAAACCTTCCACTGGTTTGATGCTGTCTACAGTCTTTCCTACTGGCACCAAGCACCTCGAAGGCGCTACAGCTTAAGATATTTGGAACCAATGTATTTAGGTGTATTTGTTCCACTCTCTGAAAAAAAACAAGCAAAATAAAACCCAAACAGGCATGTTGTGAAGATATGTTGCCTTTTAAAATAAACTTGACTCTAAATGGTGGCCTGGGGCTCCATTAGCCAGTGGGGACCCTGCTGCCATCATTGTTTTGGCCAAGGTGTCTCTGGGGAAGACCCAGCCCAGGCTGGACCTGAGGTACCAGGCCAGGGAATGGAGTGTAGCTGCTAGGAGTTCCTTGCCAGTTTAGAGGAAAGAGCAACCCTCTCTCTGGGCTGCTGCACGTGTGTTCACAGGTATCGGGGTTCAGGCTGGCAGAGCATCCCACTGTCTTGCCACGGTGGCATTGGGATGGGGGATGAGGCTGTGAGCATCTTCCATCCGTACATAAAAGTGCTGCTCCCAGTGCCTGGCCAGCACAGGCTTCCAAAGAATAAGCCCCTGGTGTCTGTCTTCTTGAAAATCCAACTGCCTTGCACATGGAGAAGCAAATGGACTCTCCACTGCCTTATATTTCTCCAGAAGTTGAATATTCATATTCCATAAATTATCTTTCCATAGAACCTCTCCTAGGGAGGCAGAAAGAGTCGCACTGTAGGGTTCCTTCTGTTATTTTGCTGAGAAGGATTGGAAATTGGGATTCCAAGTCGTACACCAATAGGATGTGATTTATAAGCCTAAACATCACAACTTAGAAGGGGCATCAGACATATTCTTCCTGGGCCTCTGTCTCCTCGTTTCTCACGTTGGCAGGGCTGATACAGGGTGCTCCGAGGTCACTTGCAGCTCTGCTTTTCCGTGGTTACCTTCTGTTCATATATGTACAAACTCACAACCTTCTCCCAGATTTAGACATATATCACCTGTTAATTTATTATATATAATAAATTAAGTAATGTGTAACCCTGTTTAGTAAGAAATCCAACATGAAAACGTTTAAACAGGGAAATATGAGTCATTCCACCCCATCTCATTCCCTAGGGGTAGCCCCAGGGTGGTTCTTCCTTGTTTATATAGACATACAGACAGTATGTGTGTATACCATGTTTTTAATTTTAAAAGAGTGATATTATGTATTGCATGATTCTCTGAAACTGGATTTTTTTCACTTAATAATATAATGTGAACAACTTCCGATCGCACTTTAAAAAATGTTGACTTGAGCCCTAACCGGTTTGGCTCAGTGGATAGAGCATCAGCCTGTGGACTCAAGGGTCCCAGGTTCGATTCTGGTCAAGGGCATGTACCTTGGTTGCGGGCACATCCCCAGTAGGGAGTGTGCAGGAGGCAGCTGATCGGTGGTTCTCTCTCATTGTTTCTAACTCTATCCCTCTCCCTTCCTCTCTGTAAAAAATCAATAAAATCTATTTTTTAAAAAATATTGACTTGAGACCTCAGTGAGCAGAGGCCAGGGTCAGAGAGATCACGCTCTGTCATTCCCACTCCCGCCGGCCTCCTGTCCCCGGTGGTGGACGTTGGCCTGTGACCCTGATTTATGATTAACAGACGGGTAACATTTGCGCTGATGTGGTACAGACCTTTAAACCTTCAGTAGAAGTTTAACTTCCCATAAACAGATTTGGGCTGCTTCGACCTTTCCTCTCTTGGTTTTTCTGGTTGAGTCAGCACACTCGGCCTGAAGAAAATAGCTTGGTGACAAATAGAAACATGGAAGTCCCTTAGGTAGTTCTATTTTAAACAGTCAAAAAAGAAATAATAATAATAGCTTACATTTTCATAATGCTTTATAAAGTATCTTCATGTTTATCACGCAATTGGACAAATTTATTTTGAGCGAACACAACGAGTAGAGTGCTTGTGGGTCACAGGTGATCCATTTGGCAACGAGACAACCAGAGCAGATATTACTGCCATTTAATCCATAATAAACTCAGACTCAGAAACTACCGCTTTGCCCATGGTCCCAACCAGGGGAGGCAGAGCTTGTCCTTGAACCAGGTCTATTTGCTCTACTAGCAGCAAACGTGTGTGTGTGTGTGTGTGTGTCAGATGCTTATGAATTGGTAATGTCAGTGGTGTGGGGATAATGATCTACAGTCCAAGGATTTGGGGTACCTTGAGGGTATCATCACCAAGTATTCTGAGGGTGTCCTCAAGGACATTAGAGCCATCTAAGGCTGATTCCTTTCACCAAGCTCACTCTTTCCTTGAAATAAAGGAGTACTGTCCCTTATCCCAACTTTGTGTCTTATTAGCTATTTGTCTTTGGACAAATCAAACACTCTTATATTCTTTCTTTATATGGGAAGGAGGGAATTCCAGCTGCCTTCTGGGATTATTGTGAGGCATAAATTATATAGTGCATGCAAAGCAAGTCGCAGAGTGCTTGGCAGTCAGTGATAATTTGCTACTATTATTGCACTATTTGTGTATGAGTGTATGAGGGGGAGAGGAGGCCATAGGATTGGATAGGAAATGGCTCAAGATAATCTTCACTATGGTTTGTCCTTTTGGATAGCTCATCCTATGCAAAATCACTTTATAACATATAAGATAAAAAGAGCCCTGTGAGGTTGCATTTTTTAAGACTAGTCAAAGTGGCAGCTGAACAGGTGCAGTGATCCCCTTCAGAGGCCCACTGCCAATCTCCCTTCACTAAAGCAGTGAAACTGAGAATTATTGGGACAGGGATTACCCCATGACTTCAGCACCCTTGGACCCTGGGAATTTCCAGCCCAGAGGCACTTAGGAAAAACTCTACCTATTGGCCTCAAGTGGTCTCATAGGTGTTTGAATACAGGATAAAAGGAAGCTTGCACTCCACCTTGTAGATCCCAACGCTGAAGAAATGTTAGCTTCAAGTCCAAGTGGTGGTCTCTCCTCTCAAGAGTATTGCCTGGAGAATAGTCTGGTGGGCTATAGACTAACAGAACAAAGTAGAGAATGGCCACACAGGCCAAAAGCCTCACTGTCCTTGCCTCAAGCCATCTAGGGTACCTGATGGCACCAGAAATCCATAAAGTAGAGAATCAATTACTGCAGTGCCATCTACCTGTCAGATGCGATGTGTGAACTAGCTGGTTCAGTCTCAGGAACAGTCATCCCAAAGGTGCCCTGGAAGGCATTCTATTTAGCATCACCATGAACATGTACCCTCCCCCCTTCATCCATTATGGCTACCTGCAACTACTTAGGCTAAGGGGGAAACACCCTCCCTCCCAGACCTCATTTGTTTGTGCACTTGTAGAAATGGGCCAGAAATGGCGGAGGGCCTGTAGGGCTAGACTGCACACCCAGCTGCCTTAGTCATGAGTCCATCCGATCCACCCTCAGTTTTGTTCAGGACTCTCCTGCACTCTTTTCCAGACCTGTCACCATGGCCCACAAATTCCCAGCCCTCACCGCAGACCAGAAGAAGGAGCTCTCAGAAATCGCCCAGCGCATCGTTGCTAATGGGAAGGGGATCCTGGCTGCCGATGAGTCTGTAGGTGAGTGCGAGAAGCATCATACAACAAGCATACTCTTGTTTCTACACTTCGCAAAGGCACCTTGATATCCATGTTTTCTTTCCTCTCAGACGAGTAAAGGCTTATGCACACAGGAGTGGGAGCAGAAGGCTTAGGAAGCAGAGACCTTTGGGGGTCCTGTCATTCCAGTTGGCAGATTTCTGAAAACCTAAGACAGAGACTCAGCCTTCCATTTTGAGGCCCCTTGCCAGAGGACATTGGAATTCAGGCTATAGCAAGACCAGGAATTCAGTAACCAGAATGAGGTCAGATACACAGCCCGCTGCTGCTAATAAGAAGTCAGCCAGGGAAGGGCAGAGAGGCAAGGAAGTGTCCACATCTGGCACAGGGAAGCGCTTGTGTCTAAGTAAGCCTGAAAAGGTAAAAAGGAGAGCTGTGGCGGGCCCGCACACCACCAGGAAACGATAGAAGCCAGAGAAGTCAACAGTCAGATTGAGGGCTGAACCAGAGAGGCTGGGGAGAGGCTGGAGGGCCTTAGCTACCACCTGGACCCACTGGTGGCTTCCCTGACTCAGACATGCCCAGCCCGTCCTCTTCCTGCCCAGCAGCCAAAGGAGACAAAAAAGAGGCAGGAGTTCTGATCGTGGGGAGGAAAGCCCGGCTGGCTCCTTACACTGCCTTTGCCCGCCCACCCATAGGCACCATGGGAAACCGCCTGCAGAGGATCAACGTGGAGAACACAGAAGAGAACCGACGGCAGTTCCGTGAAATCCTCTTCACCGTGGACAACTCTGTTAGCCAGAGCATCGGGGGCGTGATCCTGTTCCATGAGACCCTCTACCAGAAGGACAGCCAGGGCAAGCTGTTCAGAAACATCCTTAAGGAAAAGGGCATCGTGGTGGGGATCAAGGTGAGTCCTTGCACTCCCCTTACCTCTAAGTGCCCAGCCCAGGGGCTGTGGCAGGGCCAGCACTCGGAACATGTCTCATCATCTGCTTTCCATCACACCTTCCCCTGAGAACTGATCCTCTTCTAGACTTTTCCTCCCATGCCCTCTTCTTTCAACCATTTTCTACAAGGTACTAAATCTCTTAGTGTCTCAATTTCCTCATTTCTAACATGGGAATAATAGTACCTACCTCATAAGATTCTTATAAGGAGGAAATGTGTTTTAAAAACAGTCCCAGTCACAAAATTATTATTCAGAGCATGATAGCTGTGATTATGAAAGCACTCACTATTCTATCTTTAACTAGGTCTTCCAATACTGCACAAGAGTAAAGTATTCAATAACTGCTTAGACCTCCAGGGACTCATTTAATCCTCCTAACAACCTCTGGAGGCTGACTCAGTTATTCTCCTTATTTTAGAGGTGAGGTGAGAAAGTGGAATTACAAGGGTGACATAACTTGCCCGCAGCAAGGCAAAATTGGAGGCCGTTTGAGCCCAGACTGTCCACCTCTCGGGCTCATGAACTTAGCCTTTGCTCTGCGGAGAGTAGAGGCTGCATCCTATTCTCTTCATCTCCTGTAATAACACAGTACCTGCGATGCGAAGGTGCTCCACCATGCCTCTTGAATAAATGAATGAATAATTTAAGGGATGCTGCTCTTATACAGAATCTCTATACTAGTATTCCTAGTGCTATCAGATTACTTCTTCCTTCCCAAGCTCCAGGCCTGTGCTTTCCATCCTCTTAGGGTTGACCTTGACCCTCTTACATTGTCCCTTCCAGGTAACGTCCCTTCTGCTATGGACTGTTGTGTCTTTCTGTTGTGTCCCTCCAGATGGCTAATCCATTTTCCTAACTGAACTCCTTGATTTGTGAAAGATGGGAGCTACTTAGTCAGCACCAGGGGCTCTGCTGGTGTTTTATTTACTGGGATACCTGACACCTGCTAATTACTTGTTAATTATTTAATTCACAGTTGGACCAAGGAACTGCTCCACTTGCAGGAACAAACAAGGAAACCACCATTCAAGGTAAGGATACTGCCCACTGATGTGAATCATGCCAATATATGCTAGAAATGAGTAAGTGAAAATAAATTACCAATATCACATGGGGATTAAAGCCACATGCACCTGATTTTCAATCCGAGCTCCTCTAGTTGAGAACTGTGTGACCTCTGGTTAGTCACTTAAGTGTTCTGTGGCCATTCTAGGGGATAACAATATCTGCGTTGCAGAATAGTTTTAAAGATTAAATTAAACAATATATATAAAGGACTTACCACAGTGTGTTGCACAGAGAAGATACTCTGTCCCTGGGAATATTATTTTTAGAGAAAAATCCATCAGCAGTAGAGAGTAATGGTCCCAGGCTTTGGGATTGGACATACCTGGGTTTGAATCCTGGTTCCATCACTTATGACTTAGATAATTTTGCTAGGTACTTCACTGCCCAAGTAGACAAGTATAAACCACAACATTGGGTTAGCTACACAGAATTTGAATCCCAGCTCCATCACTCTCACTATGCAAATTTAGTCAAGCCACTCAACCTCTCGGAGCCTGGTTATCCACATCTGTAAAATGAGTATAATATTAACTATTAGGGTTGTTATGATGACTAAATGAGAAATGGTGTGCAAAATGCATAGAATCATTCCTGGAACACAGCAAGTATACCAACCAAATATTCATTCCCTCTATTCTTATGTGCGTCAAAACGTATTTATTAAATCCAGGTCTCTTGGCTCAGTGTTGGGACCCATGTTTACTTGTCTGGTTGTTTTTGGCTCTCAAGCTCTGCTGACTGGAAGCTAAGCCAAGGGAGCACTCCTTCCCTTTATCGGCCCCAGGGATCAGGGACAGGGCCACAAAGAAGCCATTCTCTCTTTTGTGACTTACAGGGCTCGATGGTCTTTCTCAGCGCTGTGCTCAGTATAAGAAAGACGGTGCTGACTTTGGGAAGTGGCGCGCTGTGCTGAGGATTGACAACCAGTGTCCATCCGCCCTTGCTATCCAGGAAAATGCCAACGCCCTGGCTCGCTACGCCAGCATCTGCCAGCAGGTGCTCAGGCTTCCCCTTGGGCTAAAAAACAGTAGGGGAGTGCTATCTTTAGAGCCTATCTTTCTAATTTTACTATACCCACACATGAACCCTCTTCTCCCCCCGCCAGTGTATCCTGGTGGCATTTTCACTGCTTCTGCTGTAGCCACGTGTGGTAGGGAAAGATGTGGCTGCACAAGCCAGCTAGGAGCCCAAACGGCAGATGCCCTCAACTGCTGTTCTTCTTCAAAGTGGTCAGGCTTTTGAGGCCAGGGCACTTGCTTGTCTGTGTTCCACCATGTCCAAGACAAGATCCTCTGAGGTCCCCAGGTCAAGGGTGATAGCTCTGATCTAGTCCACATAATTTCATGGAGGATGGAGACTTGATGCTAAAGTTTCCAACATGTGTTGACGTGTCTCTGGGATCCAATTTAGTCTGATTTTATTGTATGGGTGCTGAGTTGTGGGCACCTGGAGATTCCCAATCAGAATTGTAAACACTTCTTGAATTCCTTACTTAACCCACACAAGAGGCATCTTTCTTAGTGATTTAAGCTTGACTGCTCTAAAAGGGTGACAGCTAGTTTCTGAAGTAGCTGGAGTAGTTTCTAGAATAAGACCTAGAAATTAGGAGTTTGCTTTTATTTTTCCCCATTCCCAGAAAAATTTTTCTTCCTTTCTTTTCTCCTTCCTTCCTTCCTTTTTTAATTTTTTTTAAAAAAATCCTCACTCAAGGATATTTTCCATTGATTTTTAGAGAGAGTGGAAGAGAGAGGGAAAAATAGAGAGAAATATCAATGTGCAAGATACATGCCCTTGACCTTGACCTTGACCAGAATTGAACCTGAGACCCTTAGGTCCACAGGCCAATGCTCTATCCACTGAGCCAAACTGACTATGGCCCTTTCTTTCTTTTTAATCTCACTATTCTTTTTTGGCTAAGCCATGCTCACTAGATATCTCATTAAATTTCTTTGCATTGCCTTTGAGTCACTTACATGATATTTCTCCAAAAGGGCTTCATTTTATACCAACCTCAACTGTTGAATAATCTCTTAAGGAAAGGATCCCCGTGAGCAGAGCTTCACTCTTTCTCTCCTTTTTCCTTTTTAGAACGGGCTGGTACCTATTGTTGAACCAGAGGTAATTCCTGATGGAGACCATGACATGGAACACTGCCAATATGTTACTGAGAAGGTAAGTCCAAATCCTAGTTGAAAAACCTTGCTTTTAAGTAACAGCTATTACTTAACATATATCAGCTGCTATATGAGAAATATTCTCAGTCGGCATCATTATGTAGCATTGAGAAGGTAAGGAGGTATTAGCAAACCTACCACTTTTGGGTACATGGTATGCTCCTTATGAAAAAAGCACAGGACTTGTAGTACCGAGACTAGGCCTTGAGAATCCATGTATCTACTTGTGGGGCCTCAGTTCCATTAGGTGTAAATTAAGAAATTTTAAAATAAAATGAGGCTTACATAAAACACATGCGATTAGAAAGTAATTTGTCTACTTGTGACTTTCTAAATTAGTCACAGTATATCGGCAAGAGAGTGAGAGACATAATGTACCCTGACCTCAGTTTTTTCCTTGACAAAATTAGGTGGACTAAAATGAGATCTGAAAGCACTTCTGTGTCTGAAATGTATGTGTTTATGACCACTTAGCATCTAAGGGGAAGGAGAATGGAGGCCAATTTAGATGTCCCCAACTAACTAAATCCATGCAGTTTCCACTGACCAAAGGGAGTGATGGGAAGGAAGGAGTGAGGGGAAGCAGGCATGCCAGCAGACATGCAGTAGGCAGCTAGAGTAGGGATGGCAGGTACAGGCCAGATTGGCTGTGCTCAGTGGCTGTGGTTTGCAATACCTTGCCCTGATGAGGCCTGGGGGCTGGTTGGGAAGCTTTGGCCAAGCCACATACGAGAATTCCTTCATCCCGCATCCGTGCAGCATAAAAGTGCCAAGGGCAGGTGACTCTAAGGCTGGCTCTGGGTTTCATCTGTTTGGATCTCTTATCCTTCAGGTCCTGGCTGCTGTGTACAAGGCCCTGAACGACCATCATGTGTACCTAGAGGGCACCCTGCTGAAGCCCAACATGGTGACCGCTGGACATGCCTGCACCAAGAAGTATACTCCAGAGCAAGTGGCCATGGCCACTGTCACCGCTCTCCACCGTACCGTTCCTGCTGCTGTGCCTGGTAAGGCTTTCCTTCATCTCTAACTCCGGGTCTTGGCCCTTGGCCTTTGAAGTTCCACAAGCATTTTGTTTGTCCAGGGTCTTCTACCCATGAAACAGACCGCTGCCATCTCACAGGCAGCAGCACTTCCCCTCACACTCTGTGATACCACATATCCTGAGTCTGCCCACATGCACATGATCCATTGCTTTCCTCAACATTTCACCTCCCTCCTTACTTATGAAAGCCCTTGTATCCCTAGCCCAACCAGCCTCAACAAGGGAAAATTAATACCCCTGACCCAGCCCCATGCAAATCAAGCAGAGAAAAGATTGAAACATTACATTCCTTTTAGGCCCGTTGCTTGCTTTCTCAAGCTGGGTCCACAAGCTGGACTAACTGAGTGGAGTGGTTTCTCCCCTTCTAGGCATCTGCTTTTTGTCTGGTGGCATGAGTGAAGAGGATGCTACCCTCAACCTCAATGCTATCAACCTTTGCCCTCTCCCCAAGCCCTGGAAACTAAGTTTCTCTTATGGACGGGCCCTGCAGGCCAGTGCACTGGCGGCTTGGGGTGGCAAGGCTGCCAACAAGAAGGCGACACAGGAGGCTTTTATGAAGCGGGCTGTGGTAAGATGCTACTACCTCTTATGTACTTGATCAAGTGGACACTTGGGGCCTGGTTCTGTCATATGGGAAAACTTTGCTTTCTCAGCCCATGAAGGTATCTCCAGATAATGTCCACTGGGTATTTGAAAAATGTGGCATTGGAGCTCAATAGGAAGGTGCGGGCTAGAGAGAGTTTTGAGTTATCCACACTGTGTGCATAGCTGATGACAGATTGAAGGATAATTTCCACAGAGACACTTCAGAGGAAAGATAAGAGGGATAAGGACTGAACCGGGACACCTTTCATTTTGGGAAGATGAAGAAGAGAAGCCACTCTAACAAGCAGCAATAATATGATAGGATGAACCAAGGATTCTGAGAACAAAGAGAAAAAAATTTCAAGGGGTCAGTAACAACACACTTCAGAGAGATTCAGAATAAAGGCTCAGAGAAGGCAGAGATGGGCATAGGTGATTATTAGTGACCCTCAATAAAATAGTTTCAATAGAGAGAGAAGAAAAAAAGTGCACATTCAAGAAGTTTGTCAGGAGAAAACCTAGAAAGGTTACCAGGAGAAATGAGGACAAAAATGATTTTATTCAACTAGTAACCATTCCTTTTGAACACCTATTATGAGCCAAGGACTAGGGTGAATAAAGCAGATCAGCCACTGCCTTTAGGGAGCTTAGAGCTTAGCCAAGTAGGAGAGAGCTTGGCATACTTAGATGTAAAGAACACTATCAAGAGTGTGAAAAGACACCTCATAGAATGAATGAACATATTTGTAAATCTGATAGGTGGTAAGATTTTATTATCCATCCCAGTAACAAAAATGGAAACAACCCAGTTTAAAAAATGGGCAAAGGACTTGAATAGACACTTCAAATGGCAATAAATACATGAGAAGATTTTCAGCATCTCTAATCACCAGGGAAATGCAAATCAAACCCACAAAGTGATATCATTTCTACCCATTAGAAAAAGAAAGCCAGAGGACAGAGTGAAGATGAGGAGAGTGGAGATCATGGAGAGGACAAGGGCTTAGAGGAAATAGGATGACATGAAACTAAATGTTAACGCAGTTGTCAGAGTTGGTCTTAGAAAGAAGGGGAGAGACATCAAAGAAGAGAGAATGGGTTGAAATCGGATCTGTTGAGATAAAGAGAGGTAATGGTTGATTGCTGACTGCAGTTGAGGGTGTCTGTTGAGAGTGAGACAGGAACAGATATAGTAGGGCCTTGACTTAACGAGTGTCCCGACTAACGAGTTTTTTGAGATACCAGCTGTCTCCGCCTATTTTTTGCATTGACTTGACAGAGTAATTTGAGTTAACGAGCTTGGTCTCGGAATGAATCAAACTCGTAAGTCAAGGCCCCACTGTATTTCCATCTTAACAGTGGAGGAGCTTTGAATAGCTGTTGAAATCATCAGCTGGGAAATTGGCCAGATGTGATGGCCAAGCTTATTAGGCAAAGTGCAGCTGAAATGAGAGTGAGTCTGTGGTACATTAACTTAGATCCTAAAATTTCCTGCCAGCTCTCTTAAGCATGCAGGAAGATTCAGGTCAACAGAAATGGGAATAGCAGGAGAAAAGAGTAAAAGTTTAATAAGGAGACGGTAGAGTGCTGAATTTGAGTGATGGCCTTATGTAGCTTGCTGATCACAGAGAAGGCTGGGCAAGAAATGAAGAGTTCACCAGAGGTTTGGCCATGAAGCACTAAAGGAAAGGAAGTCCCCAGGGAAATTGGGGCATAAGAGGGGTGTGAGATTGTAGAGGTAGTGCTTTACCTTATGATGATGGAGAGCTGGGTATGGCCGTGCTGGCGTGTGGCTGTTGAGTTGAGATGTAGCTGATATGATGGAGGGACTGTGAAAGTAAGGGCCAGGGGCCAATCCACACCAAAGAAGGAAAGCCGAGTTTATCGTCTGAGACGTGGTTCTCAAACTAGTGCGCACATCTGAATCACCTGGTGGGCTTGTTAAAACCCAGATTGCTGGGCCCCGGCCACTGAGTTTCTGATCCCGAGGGTCTGGGGTCAAGCTACAGGATTTCCAGTTATTACACTTGCTTAGGTTCATGAAATACATGTTGAAAATCACTGTAGGTGAAGAAATAAGTCCTGGAGAGAGTAAACAATAGCAACAGTGACTTGAAGAGTGGCATTTGAATATTATTATAGGTTTTATAATCCTGAACTCAACTTTAATTGGAATTTACACAGGGGATCAAATGATACTGTGATAACAACTATATAAAATTACATGTTCTTGTGGTCAAATATAAGTAAAAAATGGGAAATTTTTAAAAATGATTTTATTTTCATTTATGTGTTTTTATTATAACAAATAGTACTTTGTCTGATGCTTGGCCATATATCTAGTCAATTTCTTAGCAGACAACTTTCACAGGTATTCCAAGCTTCCCCATTGTTAAGGCTGAAATCCCCACTCCAATACTAGTGAGAAGTGTCTCAAGTTTAATTTCTAGTACTGCTGTTGCACTATTGTTGGTACTAAAAAGAGACTTTCCCACCCTGACCGGTTTGGCTCAGTGGATAGAGCGTCGGCCTGCAGACTCAAGGGTCCCAGGTTCAATTCTGGTCAAGGGCATGTACCTTGGTTGCGGGCACATCCCTAGTGGGGGGTGTGCAGGAGGCGGGTCGATGTTTCTCTCTCATCGATGTTTCTGACTCTCTATCCCTCTTCCTTCCTTTCTGTAAAAAATCAATAAAATATATAAAAAAAAGAGACTTTCCCAGTAACTGACACAAACCTCAGTCTTGCCAAAGAAATGCTCAGAAAACTGGGATAAAGGAGATAACATGTTACAAAAGAAGGGGAATGATATCAGCCGCAATACTCCATATTCTGCCAAATCAATGTAAGGGGGGAAATGTCGAAATGAAGGTGTTGCTGGTTTCAAATGAGAGGCTGAAGCACATAGTTGTGTTTGTTCTAACTCGGCCTCCTCTGTCACCCTTGTTTTTTAGGCTAACTGCCAGGCAGCCAAAGGCAAGTATACTTCCATGGGCTCTTCTGGTGCTGCGTCCACCCAGTCGCTCTTCACAGCCAACTATACCTACTAGAAACAGAAAGGTCGGCTGGCTCCAGCTCTTTGAGGTGTTTTGGGAAGAGGGCTGAAAGGGAACAACCACCTTGTGACTGACCCTGGAATTCAGACCAAATTAGATTGAAGTACTGGAAACACAATACATGTTAAATTCTTAGACACAAGGGAAAAAAAAATCAGTTATTGAAACTTAAGTCCAAATATCAAGGATTTGATGAAATTTCACACTGCAGTTTCCTTGCCACACTTCCTGCTGCCCATGACCCAGAGTCTCCACCTAAGAAAAGAATAGACTTTAAAACGAAATCTGCTCTCCATCCAAATAACGACGACTGAGTGAAACGTCTCAGAAGCTGAGGGCAGAGAAGTGCATCTTATGAAATGATCTTAGGCGTGGTAGGTTATGAAAGAGACAGCTGTGACAAAAAGGAAATAAAATAAGCTATAAACCTTCAGTTGGTGTTGGGTTTTACTTTTTGCTCTTGTTTTCAAAGGACTCAGTATATTTCATTACCTTTGACTCTACTAGACGTGATTGATGTTATGGTTTAGGGTCCTCAACTTTGGCTACTCTTTGGAATTACCTGAGCCCAATTAAATCAAACACTTGATGTAGGATCCTCTAAATATCAGGGTTTCTTAAAGCTCCTTTGATGATTCCATGTGGAGCCAAGTTTGAGAATGACCACTCTAGATTTCAAGTTTGAGGCTCCCCCAAAATGAAAGCCATTTAGTATAATTTGAAGCTAAAATGTGAACTGATTTTGAGAAACACGTGGAGGCTATTGAGAGAATCAATGTGACTTTGCTGCTTTGAGCATTCCTCTTCAAGTGGCCCAGGTTTGATGAGACAGGACTACATGTTCCTCTGCACAGCCAAGCACACAGCCTACTTTTGCAGTAAATAATATTCACATAATTATACTTGATTGGCTTTCCATTTTCAGAAAACCATAGTTACAAAAGAAAATTTAAATGTTGAAACTTTGGATGACATAATGATTTAACTGACAGAAGGGAAATTCAAAGGGGAGGAGAAATAGAGGAAAGCAAAGGGAGCACTAATCCACTTAGTGGGGAGTCAGGAATTCTGCTTAAAATTGATGGATTAAGAAATAGTGTTTCAAGTCTACTAAAGTAATAAAGGAAATAGATATAAATCATTACAAGAGTAATACCTATAATTAAAATATAGGAGAAGGAAGTAAACTAAATTCTTTGCCTTGAAGAGTACTAAGGTAAATGTTATTGCTTAGAGTTGATAAATTAAGAAATAGAGGCATAAGCACATTATTTAGAGGAATAAAATGGAATTAATCCAAAAGGTCTTCTTCCGATGAGAAAGATCTGGTAGTGGGTGTAAGGAAGGAATTATTTATAAATTTAATATATATGTTATACACTTATAAATTATATATATAAGAAATTACTTATTATGTGTCTCTAGGACATTTGGCTATTTCCATGTACCTGCATTACTTTCTAAAGACAAGGAACTATATCCATATGAGCAATTCAAATCTACCTTAGAGGTCATTTAGCCCAAGTCTTTCATTTTACAGAAGATAAAAACCAAGGCTAGAACAGTTAAATTACTGGATGATGGTCACACATTTTGGGGGAGTAGAGCTGAGAGATTAACATTCAGGTCTCTTTCTACTAAAAGGTACACACAACCAGGGAGCAGGTAAAGGTGGGCAACAGGCAGTGTTCAATACCTCTGCCACCAGAGTTGGTCTTCTACATTTCTTATTGCATCCATTCATTCCATCAGCCACTACTTGAGCTCTTACCATGTGCTGAGCTGTCCTAAAAGCTTTTGTCACAACACCTGGTGTCACAAAGCTTTTCTGCCAGAAAACTTTTATCTAGAGCTACTCAGCACCACTGGCCCTCTGTGGTAGAGAAACCTCTTAGACACTCATTTATGGGTTGAACATGAATTTATAATCAAGGCTGAGTTATTTATATCTTTTGGTTAAGGCTGAATTACATTTCACTGAGGGTGAGGATTTATATAATGCATTTTCCCTGGCTACTATCTGACATATTTTCCCTACTAAAGAACTGCAAATGTCTTTGAAACCTCAAGCCAAGTAATTTCCTCCACTCAGGGTAATATGAAGACAAGAGGGAGCCGGTCCATGCTTGCTGTTTCAAGGGACCTGGCATATATGGCATACTGTTCTTAATATGTTTGCTCACCTTCTTGGCACTATGTGTTTTAACCAAGGTCTCTGAGAAAGGTTGTTTCCCCAGGTAGGGATTTTCCCCTGAAGTTAGGGAGGGAATAAAACCTCTTAACTAAGTGCCAGGCGGGTAATTAATCACTTTAACTACGAACAATCATGCTTAAGCTACATAATCTTTACTCCCTGGAATGGAGATAAGAAACGCCCTAACCTTTGGAATAGAGATTGATAGGATTGGAATCAACTGGTATAAATACAGATGTAAGAACACAGAACTTAGAAGACAGAACTTAGAAGACAGAACCTACACACAGAACTTAGAAGACAGAACCTACACAGAACCTACAGACAGAAGAACTTCGCTGGAGAGAACATGGCAAAAGATCCTGGACTGAACCTGACTACAGAAATTGGCAAGAGAACCTGACTAGAACCTGGTGATTGAACCTGGCTGGAGAACCTGGACAGAACCTGGCTGAAGAACCTGGCGAGGGAACATGGCTACAGAACCTGGCTGGAGAACCTGGAGAACCTAGCAAGAGAACATGGACACAGAACCTGGCTGGAGATCCAAACCAGAACTTCGCTGGAGATCCAGACCAGAACTTGGCTGGAGATCCTGGCAAGAGATCCTGGCTAGGCTGCTGATCAACTGAACACTGTCTTCGTGTCATTCCTTCTTCGCCGACTCCGTCCACACCTTTGGGGACCCCTGGACCTGCTGGGGTTGGACCCCGGCAGCTACAGGCTTCAATTTCTATTAACTGTGTGGTCACTGAGTGGATATATTAATGGCTTCCTAGATTTCGGTATTCTGTCAGATTTATTCTAGAAGTTGTTGAACACCCACTAAAAATAAAACCTGGTACTAGGCACTGAAAGTAATTAAAAAAACTTTCAGCTTTAGGGTAGCCAAGGCATTTGTATATAGACAAACTTAGGTAGCTAAGCAAGTAACACAAATGCTATTGATTGGAGGTTGAGGAGTGGGGAAGACAGTCTATCAGTGTAGCTGGGCACAGAAAAGGAAGTAAGGACATCTAGGTTGGAGATCACAAGATGTTAACAAGGAAAGGAACTCAGAAAAGGAACTGCCATTGTGTAAGAAAGTTCTTTGATAATTCAATGGGAGAAGATAATACTTTGAAGGCATAAGTATCAAAAGACAAGCCAAAACAATTACTAAATACTGGAAGGAATAAAAAGAAGAGTTTGTTTTTTGCTCTGAAGAGGGAGGGTGAGAGAAGGGAAGAAAGGGGTAAAGAAAAGGAGAGGAGCCCAGCTGGTGTGGCTCAGTGGTTGAGCATCAACCCATGTACCAAGAGGTCACTGTTTCAATTCCTGGTCAAGGCACATGCCTAGGTTGTAGGCTCAATCCCCAGTAGGGGCATGCAGGATGCAGCTGATAGATGTTTCTCTCTCATTAATGTTTTTCTCTCTCTCTCCCTCTCCCTTCTTCTCTCTTGAAAATAAATAAAAACATATATTTTTTAAAAAGGAAATAGGGCCGAAACTGGTTTGGCTCAGTGGATAGAGCGTCGGCCTGCGGACTGAAAGGTCCCAGGTTCGATTCCGGTCAAGGGCATGTACCTGGGTTGCGGGCACATCCCCAGTAGGAGATGTGCAGGAGGCAGCTGATCGATGTTTCTCTCTCATCGATGTTTCTAACTCTCTATCTCTCTCCCTTCCTCTCTGTAAAAAATCAATAAAATATATTTAAAAAAAAAAAGGAAATAGGGAGGAGAAAGGAAAAATGAGAAAGGAGGAGGAAGAGAGAAGGCATGGAGATACTAGGACGATATGGAATTGTGGGGAGATGACTAAAGGACTTTTACGGAGAGATATTAAGTAATCTAAAGACGTGTGTCTTCTTGATAGGAAGAGCCTAGTTTCACATATGAGTCTACATCATGCTTTACAAAAACAAGATGAGACGATTCATAATGTGAATTTAACAGAAGCAGAAGCTGATTGTAACGATGAGAATATCAGCCTCTGGGGTCCAGTATGCTAAGGAAGTTGCTCAAGGTCACAAAACCAGTAGGTGAGACCAGTGTGATTTGCAAAGTCCTCAAGACTTTCAGATAAAGGATTGTGGACCTGCCCTTAGAACAATATCTGCCACACTTTTAGGGTACCAGGTGAATTATCCATGCTCAATAGAGCCTGAGGACTCATGCAATGCTACCAATTCCCTACCTAAACCCATTTTCTAGAGGGTGAATTAAGAGATAGGAATAACAGCAAAGCTCAACACAGCCAGACACAGGTCTCTTTCCATTACTCAAATAAACATATTTTTCTGGCTGTAACACAATCTGTCCCAAGCCTTCTAAAATAGCCTAACAGTACTGGGCATCAATATACGTAAACATATAAAATCGGTCAAGTATCCATTCAGCACTTACTGTACGCTTTGCCCTGTAAAGATACTACAGGGTCCTTCTATGCTTACCATTGAGATGAGGAAAACAAGGACACAATTAGGAAACAAAATGGCACACAATAATGTGCTAAACCGCAGAGGCATGGGCCAGTGCTGAGGTCAAAAGGGAAGGAATGCTTTACAAAGATGAGTTGCAGGTAGTTTTTTGTATGATCTTGGGAAATATACTTCCTCTCTCTGAACCCTGTTTCTCATCTGTAAAACAGGGCTGTTGTGAGGTTAGTAATATTCTATGTACAGTGCCAGATACGTAAGTTGTGAATAAATATCTATTTTCCCCTGTCAGTTGGCTCTTGAAGAATGATAAAGGCACTTGAGAGTGGAGATGAATTAGCTGTGTCCTGACAAGAGTACAGATTATACATGTTGAGGATATCGTGCGGAATTTGACTAGAATGGTGAGTCCAAGCGGAGTGGCACAGTAGGAGAAAGGGAGCTTGGGCAGAGATATTATGGAAAATCTTGCCTCGATGAAATGAGAAATAGGGAAATGTGAATAATTTTTGCACAGGGAATAACATGATAAAAGAGTATTGCTGAAAATTATTTTTTAGAATATAGAGGATTGGAAGGAAACTGGAAGCCAGCTAAGTGTGTATAATAGCATAGGGCTTAGCCCCTTGTTGGTAAAAGTTGGTGAGTGGACATGACATCATCAGAGGAAAACAACGAATTTCTCCTTGTGCAACATAGCCATTTGCCATCCTAATAATGTCTCTCTTTAATTTCAACGTGGGAGGCAAGTACTATGACAAATGAAAATTCAAAATAATTCTAGATCTAGTACTTAAAAAGAGGCTTACATACATACACAGAC